TGCCAAATATTCGCGCACAAGCAACGATGTGTGAACAGGGGCGTTATCATGGTGCGAAGTCAGTTTTTGTTTTTCCACTAATCCGGACGTTTCTGGTGGATTGATTCTCGCAAATTGCACATAACTTGCAGGTAATATTGCTTATTGACCGTACTACCCTGTGGCAAGAACTCATGATAAACCACGCTCCTGTAATCAAAGAAAACTGTGAGCAAATCCTTCATGTTCGACCGAACTTGGCGCGCTTTTATCGGTCTTGGCTCATGCGGCAGCTTCCATTCGGATGATTAAGCTTTGGTTTCCACATAATAACCATAAACCCATGATTCATCACCAGTTATGATCCTCTGGAGCACATTTGAATTGTCATGGACCGAGTCCAACATCTCCTGAGCAATGAACATTGCTATTTTTGTTCGAAATCGAGCAGTTTGACACGAATTTCGCGGTGACTCGACTCATTCCCAAATCATTGGTTGAAATCGAATGGCATGAGCCAATTGATATGTTTAGATACTCAGAAACTTCTCTATGTGTGATTCAACGATTGGCCAATACTATTTTCTTTACTTTATCAATGTTTTCGTCTGTTGTTGACGTGCTCGGGCACGTTGTTTGTCGTTCACATCTTCTCGGCCCTCTGACAACATTTTGTACCATCGATAAACGTTGCTTTGGTTCAAGGTAGCCTCACCATATGCCACAGTAAACATTCAGAATGCTCCCGCGCACTTTATTTTGTTGTTCACACAAAATTTGATACATATTCTTTGATCCATTTTTTAAAATAGACAGAAATCGAAGTCGAGCCAAAACACATCCAAGCAAAACAGCTATCAAAAATTAACTAAACATTCAAAATGGCCAACCTTCTCAGGATAAGTAAGAGACATGAGTACCAACATAACGCTACAAAAAAATCAAAAATCAAATTTACGTAGCCCGCGGAAATTCAAAATTCGCTTTTTGAACAGACCTCGTACACTAAACAAAAACATTTAAACATAAACACTGGAAAATGATGCGCTTTGGTCGAAGAAATATGTATATTTTTTTTTGTCATCAAAATTTTGCATATTCGATGAACAATGACATTATTTACACAAAAAGAGCTTAGTTGTAAATAACTATAACTTACAGAAAGAAACATCATACAACATTTCTTGACATGTCATTCAATTCGTTTTGAATTATTCTTTCAGAATCTTAAATGGCAATTTGACATTTTTATTTTTTATCTATGCGAAATTGATGCCAATTATGCAATAATTTTAGATGACGTATAAAATTATATACCTTTACCGAACTTTCTTCGTAGAATTTTGTAATACTTACTCTCCAATTATATATCAATTGAAGTACAATTTGAAACAAAAATTACCTCTCTAGCTTTAATAGGAACAAAGTTACAATTTTATTTTTTTTAAATCACAACGCTTTGTATTATTAATATTTAGAGATGAAACAAATTTCAAAAAATAGTTTAAACATCAAATTTTTATATTAACTGCTTTTAAAAGTTCCAATTGTTTATTTTATAGGAAATGTATTCAAAAACCACGACGTCTCCTCGAGGCAGCGCGCTGTACCAGTTGTTGGGGAAATGTGCACCAAACCTAAACTAGTCGCTTCAAATCATTCGCCTCAGAATAATTTATGTTGTTTCGGTAACTACTCATCTGATTTAAACAATTTTTTTGTTAGAGGGGTAGCTTTCAAAAGTAATAACAATGTGCATACTCGGAAAGATGAGTTACTAACGATTAATTTTTTATAACAAGCTGCTTTTTTTTATTAACTTTCTCATCTCTTGAATGCGGCTTTTTTCGTGATATAAACATTTCACAAAGATTGATTGTTGTGACGGTAAACGTCGAATTAGCGCTAATAATCTAACCTAATTGCTGCCTGCGGGGGCAGCACCTACCAGGGAGACGAAAAACGTAACGAAGGAATTCAGCACGCGAGCAGACGGAACGCGCGCGATTGAAATTGAACCAGTGAGGGACTAACCATCATCACGCTCGCCCATATATACGACACTAGTTACTGATACGAGAACCAGCAGATTGAACTCTACAACCGAAGTGTCCGAACTAGAGCCGAACACCAGCGACCGCTGCCACCGAGTGCTGACCTGAGCCAGCTGAAGGCCATTGTACCTGCGACATCGAACAGTGTGTGTGTGAGGTTTTGCCATCGAGAGCGAAACCACGCGTGCGCGAATTCGCGATCCGCGACAAAAGAACAGACAGGCTTTCCCGCAGTGTAAATTATTCAGTTTTGTCTTCGTGCGTCTGCAGAATAAAGGTAAGCTGGCCAGCTTAATCTCGCGATCGCGATTGCATGCGTAATAATTAATTTTCCGCGCTCGAAGCGTGCATGTAATAGCTCTACGGACAAAGAGCAGCGAGCATCCCGACACTGCATGTTGTTGTCGAGCGAGCGCCGATGTAAACATAAACACGCGGGCCGACTCTAATGTAGCATTTTAAGAGACAATAAAGAGTTTTCGTACACGATATTAACAAGTACTTTCAGAGCGTTCTCTTTGTATTCGTAGCTAGTTGGTTGACTGACACCCGTTTCCTCTTGCTCTCCGACTTTCTTATTTGATATAGGTGATAGCGAGCGCGTTTCCGCGATCATCGTAATAAAAATAATTAAACGGTAAGCAACCCCGTTACATGGTTTACTAAAATTTACAATTACAAAAATTACAATTGTTTATGAACAAATGGTCTTTTGTAAACATTTGTATTCATTGTATACATTGTACATAATGCAGCATCTACGTAGAAAATTGTATGTACTGTATAATTTACAATTTTATAGTTTGAAATGCGCATGCGCATTATATTACATAAAAATATGATATTCAATAAAACCATGATATTCAATAAATTCATTAACTATTTATAATCTTTTTATGTTAATGTAATGTCACTCAATCCGCATGTATCTTTTATACTCGCAAAAACATTTACAAATCACGATTTATCCATTAACAATTGAATTTTAGTATACAATCGATCTTTGTGAGATTTTAAATCACGGAAAAAGCCGTATTCAAGAGATGAAAAAGTTAATAAAAAAAGCAGCCTGTTATAAAAAATTAATCGTTAGTAATTCATCTTTCCGAGTATGCTCAATGTTATTATTTTTGGAAGCTACCCCTCTACCAAAAAAATTGTTCAAATCGGATGAGTAGTTACCGAATAACATAAATCTTTCTGGGGCGAATGATTTGAAGCGACTCGTTTAGGTTAGGTGCACATTTCCCCTACAACTGGTACAGCGCGCTGCCTCGAGGAGACGTCGTGGTTTTAGAATAAATTTCCTATAAAATAAATAATTGGAACTTTTAAAAGCAGTTGATATAAAAATTTGATGTTTAAATTATTTGTTAAAGTTTGTTTCATCTCTTAATATTAATAATTCAAAGCGTTGTAATTTAAAAAGAATAAAATTGTAACTTTGTTCCTATTAAAGCTAGAGAGGTCATTTTTGTTTCAAATTGTACTTCAATTGATAGATAATTGAAGAGTAAGTATTACAAAATGCTATGGAGAAAGTTCGGTAAAGATAAATAATTTTATACGTCATCTAAAATTATTGCACAATTGACATCAATATCGCTTGGATTTTCTATGGAAAAAATGGCTTGAATGATTTTATGCTGCTTTAATATTTGGCCAAGATATAGCGAACACACCCTTTTTCACATATTCTCGATTTATTTAAACAATGATCCCAATCGCCCATCCATCTATAAAATTAAGGAATTGTTCTACATCATATTTGAAACAGATTCGTGAAAAAAAATTTAATATGGGATTTATGCACAAAATGCATTACGCCAAATCCAGATTGCCTGGACTATAAGAACTTATGTTCAGGACCTCAAGGTCTATCTTTTTCCAAAGTTTCGTTTAATATGATCGAATGATTTTTTCCCATGTATTATATGCGGATTCTTTTGAACTTCAATTGATCTTGACCTTGATCCGATATGGTTGGGTCAAACGGACCTCGGAATCGAAGTCAGCGATATGCAAAACTTATAACTTATTAACTTATTACCTAGTTAGATGAAGCTCATATTTTCGTATTTTTGCAATTTACATGTGAACTCTTGGTTCAGCAATATAAAGTAATGTTGAAGTGACCTAGAGAGCTATAATAGGAATCATAGCATATATGTTTGACTTTAAAATGACCTAGAACGTTACTCAACCTAATAGATCCTGGATTCAACATTCAGCGATTCTTAAAACAGAAAAAACTCTAATCGTTTTTTCTCAAACGACTTTTTTGGGGATTTGACCTTCTAATGCCCTTCAATCTGATATACTGGGGTCAATTGAATCCCGGATTTGGTTTCAGCGTCTCAAATTATGTAAGAGTATATGAATGTTATTTATGGTACATACCACTTTTTTGTTTGCCTGTGTAAGTTAGTATCGGCCACGTGCTGTATTGTACACATATTTATCAGTTAAAAGCTAATTTATTTCATCAATGAATTTAGTATCTAAGAATAATAGATAGCGGTTGCCTTCGAGTTCATGGGTTCATGTTTATTGTCACTGTTAAATTGTATATTATTCTTATAGCCAGAATAAATATGCCACAAAGTAAAAAACAAAATTCCTTTGAATAAATGTGGATTTTTCAAAAAAACTTAATTATACAGTTTTTACAAGGCTTTATAAGTATTTATAAATATTTATAAGCTCTACTGTAACTGATGTTTGTAGTCGTTGCACGATGATTTTTAAAAATTTATTGAAAACTATAAATAGTTGGTACGTATTGCGGATAGGTACTAATGTGGTATTTTTAAATAAATACTTCAATACTTGATTACATAAACATGAATAGTAAATGTTAGAATTATAAAGATTGATATTCTTATAATCATCTTCAAAATTTCTACAAACTTACTTTATTATTCGGTGCATTCAAAATTTCATTATTAATTTTTTAATTTGTTTTAGATTTTGGACGAAGTAACATTAAGTATTTTTACAAGTCCTGAAATGTGCCCGAAAAGCTTACGTTATATTTGTGGCTGCTTACAAAGAGCAGTACTATTGAAATGGCCTCATGAAAGATTTGTAAGAACGAGAGTTGTAAGTGGATTTATTTTTTTGCGCTTGCTTTGTCCTGCGATATTGAATCCTAAATCGTTCAATTTAATAGCAGAATCACCGTCTCTAGCAGCAACACGGTAAGTTTCCAATATAGTTATAAAATCCTAACATCTATCGTACAGTATTATATAATTTATTATATTATATACAACTCTTCATTTTAGTGGCCAATTTTTACTAAAAATTACTCTGTATTATATGAATTTAAGTTTACGGATACACAGCATGCTTTAGTCTTGTTATACTGAATAGAATATAGATTTATTTTCTGGAAATAAAGATATCGATAGTAGAAGTTGACGGAGGTGTAATTTATTTCATAACACTGCGTAGCGTAGCGTATTATGTAGCACTGAAAAATCAGTCTGTTCATGAGTTAAGTAGTTCGCTTTTACATTATGCTAGCGATCGTACTTTAACAGCTTGTTGCAAATTGACCCCTCTTGAGTAACGAATAAACTGACCATAAGAGCTGATTTAAGATTGACATTACTATAAAATATTGTATGATACTTGTAACTATCATTGCGCAATGTGATTATTGCCCTCGCTTGTGCTTAGGCACTAGTATGAAGCCGTAAAATTATGGACTACATAAGGAGCCAGCTACCGTTGAACCGTGAAAATGATAAGGGTTTTTTACTGTGGCGTTGAAAACATTCAATTAAAGTTATCATTACCATCATTTCATCATAAACTACGAAGACCGCTATTTATATTTTGAACCTAGACAAACATAGTATTATTAGGCGCTATCTAACCTTACCATTTAAAAGTTTAACCTTTTTAATTAAAAAATTCTTCAGAATGTTTGTCATTGGAGTACAACTTGCATTATTTACAGTGACGTGAAAATTTTGTCCCAGTGAAAAATAGAATGAACTCATAAACATATTCGTGCCATGATTTTTCACGACTTTTGACGTAGATTAGGCAGAAGTACATGGATTAACTTATTTATATTTTTGACGATAAAGCCCCCATCTAACCCTCATTTAACCACTTTGAAACGCTGGTATAGCGAGTTCCGTTGTGGCCGCTATATACTCAACGACGAAAGTCGCGAAGATCTTCCCAAATCAGTTGTTGTACCAGAAAATATTGATATGGTTCGCGAATATAACTAATATTGCGAGATCATCATGTAATTTACTGTGAGATTGAGGTATTATTGGGTATTAGTATGATGAGTATCTATAAGATATTGTCTGAACATTAAGCTTTAGAAATAGTTTGTTCGAGCTGGATCCCGCATAATTTTACAAAACCTCAAAGATGATCGTTTGAATTGGTGCAAAGAAATTCTCAAAAAATACAATCATAGTACATCAAAGGCGATGTATAATATATACACAGATGACGAATCTTGGATCTATGCGTATGACCCCGAAGAATACAGCAATCCACTGTATGGATCTTCCAAGACGAGAAAAATCCGAACATCCGACAAAAGTGATTCGTTCACAAAGCATATCGAAGCAAATGATCGACTGTTTCTTCAAAATAACTAGACATGTGATAGTCGTACCGTTCGAAGATCGTAAGACAGTGAATTCTGAATGGTATACAAGCATTTGTTTGCCAGGAGTGTTACGTGAAGTACGAAAAAATAGGTGCCAATGATGTGCCATTCTTCTATCATAACAATGCAAGCTCTCACACTGAAACTATTGCCTACTTGATCGATTAAAATCTTGAATTGGTGAGTCATTCTTCATACATCATTGATTTAGCATCGAATAGCATCTTGTAATAGCATGGGCCTTCAATGCCAACAATTTCGCTACTATTACCGAATTATTTAAGGGGGAGGGTAAGGGAGGTGGTATGTCGCTCCTAGCAAAGCAGGAAGGAGAAGTGCATGCAAATAACTTTCACAATATTCCAGGAACTCATCCTTTATTACAACTGCACTATCATAAGTGCTGACGAACTAAACAATTTCACTTATGCTAATATAACAGATCGTTGCTTAATCTAAATAAGACGGCCGGCACGTGAGCGCCTGGCCGTCTCATTAACCCGCTCAAGCGACAACTTATACTCTAAGAAAAACTAAAGCACTGCCGGAAATTACGTCGGCTCGGGGAAGCCTGGCGCAGCAACACGAACCGTGAAATCGTCGAGGAAAAGAGAGATGCAAAGAGAGAGGAGAACAAATAACCTGACCGATGCTGGCGGATGTTGCTGTCGCTGGTAGCCTTGCAGATGCACCACCGGCGGCTTGGCAGGAAGACTGTTAGTTGCTGCGTTGCTGGCGGTTTTACTAGGAGAACCTGTTGCCGCTGTTGCTGGCAGATAAACCGACTCGGCTAATCTGCAGGAAGATTGCTGGCTGCTTGGCTGAACAAAAGGGGCAGGCTTCACGGTGACGATCACTCAAGCTAATGCGGCCGATTGTACTCGCATGCGTCGCGTCACTCCCTCGCGAGTGCGTGAGAGCCGGCTTCTTACGCCTTCTCCCACCACTCGCCTCCTAATCGGCGACACGCGGCAATGCCAGTCGCGACAAGTGCCGCGCGCCAAGCCCAACCACTAGACTTATACATTGCTTCTCTCTCTCTCTCTCGCACTCTCAATGCTCGATCGCGTCGTCGCGCCTATGGCTTCGCCTTCTGTTCTCGTGCGTTGCTGAAAATAAAAAGGCAGGCATCAGGCACGTAAAAATAACGTGCGTTTGATGCCAGCCGTGTGCTTTCGCCTAGGAGAGAGAATGCAGGCATACACGATGCAGGCTATGACCAGCCTACACCGTCACAATATTTTTATTTCCGTATATCAAGATTAAATTGCGTGGCCAACTTTTTTCGACGCCTTAAAAAGCCGTTGATACATTTAAAAACTATGTTTTAGAGGTACCTCAATCAGAGTGGAAAGTATTATCAAAATGAATTCTAGTTCATGCAAAAGTGTATTGATCATTATTGAGAATACTTTGAAAAAATTTTTTTTTTTTTTTTATTTATTTCCTAAGTATATTTACAATCTGTCGACCAAGTAAGACTAAATGACAATAAGTAAATTATTTTATACAGAGAATTTTACTAGATATCAGCAGAGTACTCCAATAAGTATTCTATCTTGTTTTTTTTGAATTAAAAGGTTCATGAATTAAAAAAGATTCTATTTTTTTTTATCTTGAGTTATGTAATGGTTTCATTATCTTGTGTTTCTTTAGTCTTGTATTTGTAATCGATTCCTCCAGAAGTGTGCTAATGAGTTTGTTTGTGTGGTTTTGTAGTCTTGTGTAATATTTTGCGTAGAAGGTTTGAATTTCTTCTTTCACTGATGCAATTTGTAAATCATTTCTAATGATATCGTTGGGAACGAACCACGGTGCGCGTGTTATATTGCGTAGGACTTTCGCTTGAAATCTTTCTAAAATTTCAATGTTCGAGTTCGAAACGGCTCCCCATAGTTGGATGCCGTAGGTCTAGACTGGCTTGAGTACAGCTTTGTACAGTAAAAGTTTATTTTCAATTTATAGCTCCGATTTTCCTCCAATTAGCCAGTACATTTTCCTCCATTTTAATCCTAATTGTTTCCTCTTGGTGAATATGTGTTCTTTCCATGTCAGTCTTCTATCCAAGTGTACTATATACCTAGGTACTTAACATGGTCCTTCTGTGGTATTTGTTTTTCGTTCAGCGAAATAGATGGACAGGTATCTTTACGCAGAGTGAATGTGATGTGAATTGATTTCCCCTCGTTTACTATTATTGTCCATGAATTTAGCCAATTTTGAAGATAGTTATTTACATAGTTTTGAATTGTTTCCGATGCTATTTTTGCTTCTTGGTGTGTTGTGAGTATTGCTGTATCGTCTGGATATGTTGCTGTCGATATATTTGAAGATTCTGGTAGGTCGGATGTGTATAGCAGATATAGTGTTGGGCCTAAGACACTGCCCTGTGGTACTCCTGCTTTGATTTCTTTTTGAAAAAATAGATTCATTTTTGATGATAAATTAATGTATTTTCGCTATTAGCCTCTAAACATAAATAGCAACCGTCGCACTCGTTGCCCTAGAAAGTACTTTCAAACGAAACACCTTATTTTTTTTTAAGATGATTGGATTTACCACGCTTTATTGTACGTTAAACTCAATGAAAATCATTTTTGAATGGCTTACTTTTCTCTTTAGATTTATAACGAATTTAATTCATTCGTTATGTCTCTCTCCTCCCACGCATGCATATACATAGTTTATATACTTATACCATATTTGGATTTACATTATATTATACCGCAGCCCGCAGCAGCCGGCAACGCCGAAGTATAAGGTAAGAGAGAGAGCGCGTTAGGTCTATCAGCGAGCCTATAAGCAGAGAGAGTCGCGTCCGCGGGTACGCGCATATGCGTGTAGTCGCGCTGCCGAAAAGTGCGATGAAGGAGTGGGGACGCCTCCCGCGGTAATTGACTGGCGGACGTAACACGGGCGACACGTGCTTGAGCGCGCGCTAAAGGATTTGCCTTTTTTGCGGATTCGGACTTCCGACCTGGCTTGCCTTAGATTATTCGCGAGTGCGTGCAGTGGTGCGACACCTTGACACGACGGTGTGTGCGTGCAAGGACGTAGTGCTAGGTAGCCCACATTTCGTCACCACTGCAACCGGCGTCCGGGAACGCTGTTCAGCGAGCGGGCGTTTACCGCACGGAGGGCCTGGCCATTGACGCCTCATTGTAAGTACCGGCTCGATTAGCTCTCTCTCGCTTGCCCGCTCACTTCTCTCTCTATCTTTACCGATTTACTACTGTACGCTTTCTCCTTAATAATTTATATAAATTATCTTTATCCTTCGTATTCTCTGCGTTTCTTTGACTTTGCGCCCGACTCCCACTCCCAATCCTTGGCGAGTTCTCTGCGCTCGTCACTACTTTTCGCGCTTTCCAGCCACCGCTACCTGCGACGCTCTACGCGGGCCACGAGGCTGCTTGACATTGCGGCTGGTTGAAAGGCTTGGCCACACATGCACCAGCGTACTAGCCCCGTGGCATTAGTAACTGATTAAGCCGAGCTGTCAATTAATCTATCCTCTCGATTATAACGGCGGGTTAGCCAAAACCCCGTTATAGA